AAGTAAAACATATCCATTCTGGGAAGGATATATCTATAAAAAATAGATTGAATCCAGGTTTTGAATGTAAAACTAAGTCTAATGACTGGAATTTTCATAATATGACACCGAAAGAATTTTCTGTACAATATATTGTAATGGGCCAAATATCCACCAACCACAAAATATGCAAGTTTGTATTCTGCACATGTAAAGAAGGAGGGGTCAATACATTTGAGTCAAAATTCCTCAGTGTTGTGTTTAAGTGCCAGAGCCAGCCAATGTGCTAGCACGCATGCTTAGTCTTAACATATGAGTACAGAAAGTCAACCAAACATGAAAAAAAGTGAATTGCAGTTATTTTTGGGATGGTACTTTGGTTTTGATATACTCCACTGTTATATTTATAGATTCAAAAGAAATTACGTCTTATTTTCAAATGTAATTACCACAGAGGACACAGAGCATGGGATTTTCAAAGCAGCCCAAGGAAATTGAGGACCCAGTTCTTAGTAAGCAGGAAAATAATATGCCGAGACATATTGAACATGCCAGTATCAAGCACCCGTACAGGAGCATTCTGTTACTTTATGTAGGTTTGCTATAAGCGAGCCAGCTGACAATGTTTTTGCAATACTAAGAGGTCTTACAGTATAGTAAAATATTTCATATCAAGTTCTGTTTGTCATGAGAAAGAATGTGCTTTCTAGTTTCTGGGGAGGGGTGCGTGTTTGGGTTTTTTTGGGTTTTCCTGGACAGCATTACGGGCCAAATGCTCAATCCTCTTATGTCAAAGGCAAAGTTTGATTTAAATGAGACCAGAATGCATGGGTATGTGCTAAATCAGATATTTTTAAATGCATGCCACTTGAGATTGCGGAAGAAAAAACATGCTCATAAATAGTTGTGATTTGTTTGAAGTCAGAGCACTTTTTTCTCTGTGGGTCTATTTATAGTTTCAGGATAAGAAATTCTTATGCTTAGTAGCAGGAACTGATGAGTGAGACTTTCACACACTCAGAAGAAAAACTTGAGTTGTAATTTTCTGTTTCTTCAGCCTAAAGAAAATTCATGAGTCTTGTAGCTGGGATAGAAGGAGGACCTTAATCACACACTGCAGTTTTCCACTTGAACTATGGTATCTGTATTACCCAAAGGAGTCAATTCTCACAGAATGTTTTTCATCTGGCTTTGTCTTCTTGTTAAAATAAGTCTTTGATCTTGCCAGTGACCAAGATTAGATTTTAATGTAATTTTTTTGTATTTTTAATTTTTATTCTGTTGCTATATTAAGACTGGGAACACAAATGGATTACTGTGAATCCTGAAGTGCTCCCTTTTTTTGCTGCTGGAGTCCAGTTCCATACAATATTAGCAATCAGCTTCTATGCCAAAGCCAAGTGGTGACAGTTGCAATAATGAATATTTGCTGCAGGCCACTGGTATGAAAATAGCACAGTGCTGCAAGCCTGCGTCACCAGAAACAAATCTTCCATTTGACTGTGACTGAATTTCCAGCTCGATTTTCAGTCATTTATTATTGAAATAGTTCTTAAAGCACTGTCATAATATAATGTTAAGAAATGCTGATTCAGTCTTCAAGGCATCAGTTCAAATGCCTTCCTACTCCTTTTTCGTGGTGGGTTTTTTTTTTTTTTTAAATCCTTTATACCTTTAATGCTGTACCCTGTATTTAGGGCACTGAACTGTATACAGGCAGCAACACTGTAATATATTCAGAGAGAGACATGCTGGTTAGGTTAGAAGTTCTAGTGAGAAGAGGATTTGAATTCCCTCTTTGTAAGCTTACTTGTCAGCTTTTAGAATGTTTTCTCCTTAATTCCTGCAGATAATTCTAAAGTTTATATGAGGAGGAGCAGCTTTGCATCTTTAAATGTGTCATGGCTTTTACATGGTGAACTTGGATGGTGTTTTCTTGTATATGTTTTGATGATATTAATGCATTTGCATTAGTGGAATATATAATGTATTAATCTAGGGCACCTTTTGAAAATGCAGAATATATGCACCGAACTTTGATTTTTTTTTTTAGTTGAAGAATATGCTGATGACATTTACCATTTTTAGTTTAATTTTTATATACAATGCTGCTTTCACGTGTGCATATCAAAATACCCTGAAAAGGACCAACATAATTGATTGTATTTTCTTTTCACTTTAAAATAATTACGTAGTGAAATATTAGATCAACATAGATATAGGAGATCAGATAAGTGAAGCAGAATAAAATCTGCAGGGTTTTTTTGTTTGTTTGTTTGTTCATTGCCTCAGGTTTTCCTATGGAAAATAAAGAAATTATGATCTATATTTTGCTTAGGGCAAAATACTGACCCTTGCACTACAAAGCTGGTAATGGTGATTGATGTACATATCTAATTTCCTGCAAGATTAGTATGAGCACCAACCTTGTCATCAACCCTGAGAGAATGTTAATGTCTTCTTTTTCTTTTCCTTCCCTCACCCTGGCGCCATCTGCCCTCTGCCTTCCTTTTCACCAGGAAAGTACATTGGCCAGACTTAGTACTGTACAATAGTACCAGGATGGAGAAACTGAAGTTTTAAAAGCAGTGTTATGTATTGCTGGGAGTGGGCTTTTGAGGAAAATCATTTCACTGCAGCAACTTTCAACTGAAAGAAAGCCAACATCACCACAGATTCCCTGGGATGGGAAAGGAGTGATTAGTTAAATGTATAATTTTGTAGACAGATCTACAAAGGCTTCATTTACTCATCAGTTTCCCAACAAAAGATTTAATATTTCAAAATAGTGTTTTTCTTTTGAAACATTATTGTTGGTCTGTAGAAAATAATAAATAAGAAGAGAATGTTCAGCAAGGTAACACCATTTCTTCTGCACCAGTATTTGACATCCCCAGTACCTTCAGGATATAACCACATCCAGACTCACTCTCAGGAAAAAAAAATACTTTGATTAGACCTTGAATGGGACCTTATTTTTGCTATATGCTTTAATGCCTGGCAATATGTAGAATATTCACATGACAAACTCTGCTTTCTTGGTTTTATGAATAACAATTTTTAAAAACCCTCTGGGAGAATATGTGGAAACATTACAAAATATATGTAAGAAAAAAAAAAGTATAGAAATTAATAGGGCTTGAAGGGTCCTATTCCCGCTGACTGAAAGGGAATCATACCTGGGTTGCTCCTGCAGGTATTTGTTCAGCCAGTTCCAAGTCCTCCAGTAGGCAATATTTCCAGATCTCTGTAGGTAGGCTATTCTCAGGCTTTACAAGCTTTAATATTAGAAAGAATTTCCTGATGTCTAATCTAAGTCTCTCTTGCTCTAATCCAATAGTCCTTGTCCTAGTAGGAGGGATCAGGGAGAAGAGTTTATTCTCTTATTTTTAGCTACCTTCTACAGATATGAAAAATGTTGTCAGTGTTTACCCTTCATCTTCCGTATTCACAGACAATATATTCTAAACCTCTAATTTGTTTTGGCTTCCTCCATTACAACCCCTCTCATGTTGGTTTGCATTTGTATTGCTGCTGGATTAACAACGAAGCAAGTAATTGTTAATTTTTGACGTTGCAGTCCCCAAGCTGGACACAGGGCCTCCAGCGCTGATTAGAGGAGAAAAAAATACTTCATAAATCTTTCACTTTGCACTTTCAATATGGTGGGGACCTTTTTCATAACACAGTGATGTAAGAGATCAGTGTTCATCTTATCTGCTACTGAAAGCTTTTTCTGAAAAAACAAACCAACCAACCCAAAATCAATCAATCAAACAAACAAACAAAAAACCCAAAAGCAGTACTGGGGCTGTTCTTCACCCTGTTTTAATAGATCAGATTAATACTACTGAGTGTGGATTCCTGCAATTGCCTTTACTGAAAAGCATCTAATTTTCTAGACTGTTTCTCCAATGCCTATGTTGGAAAGTACCCAATACCAGGAGTATCTCAGTAAAGTAAGTAAGGTTTTTTACGGGGGAAGCTGCTACTCAGTAGGCTTAGTACGACAAAATACAACACTGCAAAGGCAGAACAGCTCCTGTCCTTTCTCTCCTTCTCCTGTCCCTTACTTGCCATCTTCTCCACTGGCTCAGTGCTGGATCTTACTGTCCTCTACCCTGCTAAGTACTTAACTACCAAATGATACTGCCATATCCAAATGTCATGTATATATTATTCAAACCACAATATCATTGTGTATTTTCTCTCTCTTGGATTTGAAAACTACAGAAAAAGCACAAGTTCTTAGATGCAAGCACTAGGTTTCCAAATAGATTTAGCTATATAACATGCTTACAGTTTTTCCAAACATACCACTGATACACAGAACAGAAATCTTATTAGTGTTTGTGTAGGTCTCAGGTATAGAATGTTGTATATTTAATTACTATTATTAGTATGTATTGTTAGTATGCAATAATGGATAATAATGCATGGAAAAATGCATTAATAATTACCTTCATTCATTTAATGTTAGTTTTGGCTAATATCAAGTGAATTATCAATTTAATGTTTTATTTTATCAGATATCAAGAACATACAATTATTTTCATTTTAGTTTTATTAGTACAGAACGTTAAAACTTTAACTTGGCTACTCAATCAGTGCAAGTATTATGCGGTACTATGGCAGTTTATGCATCTGAAGTGCTGCACATAAATTTTGACTGCCTATTGTACTGGTAATTTAAATGAGCTGTTTTAGTGGATTATCTTTCAGTTGGACAGTACGGTCTTAGTGACCTGTCTTTTGAGTTTACGTATTCTGTTTTTAATGGGTGTTAGCAGAATGCAGGAGACAGAATACGTGGCATTTTGATACGTGGGAGTACTGTATTGTGTAACCACACAAAATACAAAGAATAAGGTCAGATTTAGTTCATTACCATTAGTCAAACCATCACCAGCACAATCTGGCTCTCTGTGTGGTTGCAGCATTAGGATGCAAACAAGCAAATGCCAAAGGTCACAAACCTTTTTTTTGTTTTGTTTGTTTCCATCTCCTCTCTTTGCCCACAGACGTTACCACAGGGACACCAGCAATATCAACGACGACAACCGTGGAAATCCGGAAGAGCAGTGTTATGACAACTGAGATCACCTCTAAAGTGGAGAAAATCCCCACGACAGCCACTAGCAGCACCACATGCCCTTCCGTTGAGACTGAGGAAGAAAAAGCAAAAAGACTGCTGTACTGTTCACTATGCAAAGTCGCTGTCAACTCTGCCTCGCAGCTGGAGGCGCACAACAGTGGTGAGATGGAGTAGTGCTTGCTTTCTTCTTTTCCTTCGGTCTCAAGAGCTCTGCAATTATCTTCCCCTGAATAGATTAGATCTCTTGCAGAAGGGACAAAGAGGTGGCAGAAAACTGGCAATTACATGGAATTCATTAACTATTAGAGAATAAAAATGACAGGCAAAGAGGCTTTCGTAAAGGGGGAAGAAAGGAATTTTATTGCATGCAAGTTACCCATTTTCTTACATTTTAACTTTTGCAGCTTCCAAACCTTATAGAGCTAAATGACAGCTCACGCTTCATTACCTTTGGTGTTCAGAGTTTGCATACTTTTGTTTGTGCCAGCTAGCAAACTGAGTATGAATGCCATTAGTTTTGTTTGAAATCTAACAAATTAAAGCTGAAAGAGGGAGCATCAGTCAGTCGGAGTTCAACGATGAGAGTTAGAATTCTTAGCTCCATATTGTCTGTTAATAATTTGTTAAAATTATGTATATTTTTCCTTTCTTTTCATCAACTGATAGCAACTGCTGCATGAGAGTTGAATGAGTAATTGCTTACCTCCATCTTTCTTAACTTCTAAGCCTTTTCTTGTTATTAGAGCTAGTGGCATCGATAAGTTCCAGTAGTAGAGAGCCATCATTCACAGTCACTATTTTAAGCATCTTATTGATTGGCTTTGTGGTGAGCAGGGTTAAAAGATCTTGGGATTGAATATGGTGGCAACGACACCGATAACAGTCCTACAGAAAAACTCCTGATTTTGGATGTCAGGGGTTACCTGCCAGCAGGGTAAACAGAGTTAGGAGACAGGCAGAGAACCTTAGGTTTGAAACATAGAGACAGTGATGAGATACCTGCAGCAAGACGATCAATGGTTTTATGATGTAATAAAAAAAGAAATAACTTTGGCATGTCTATAGAATCCACTCAAATTAAAAAGGAAATGATAATTTGTTGGTATTCATGAGAAACAAAGCCTAATCAGTTTTGAATGCTGTGTTTGCTGTATGCCAGATCTTCAGCTGGTGAAAATTCAAGTTCATAAAGCTATACCCATTTAACCTATTTAACTTCATATGAGGGTTAGACTCTAAACATTTTTCTGATCAAGATGAGAGTCAAAACATTATTCTGAATATTTAAACACAACTCTCCAAGTTTTTGCTGTCTATGCTGATAAACTGTGTGTGTGCTCACACACATGCATGCTTGTAAAAGTGTACATGTGGATGCGTACAACAATTATCACAATGGCACGCTAATTCTGTACACGGTAGTAGTCCATTATCATCACAGACTACCTGTGTGGCAGTTAACAGTGTAAGAAATTGTTTGGTCTGAATAAAGGTAAAGCAACAGGACACTACTTTTTTCTATCCAATCTTTATTTTAATAAAAAATGCAAGAGCATTTTTCTCACATGTATGTTTCTCACACGTTTTGGTTTCTGTCCAGGCCATTAAGGATCCATAGGTTGCTGCCAGGAACCTCTGCCCCTTTTTGATTTGGAGACTAATTAGTTAATTACAGACTTAAGTGTAAGCTACCTAATACATACTGTTTGTCAATCCATTCAGGAGGACTACAAATCAAAGCCAACTACATCTTTAATAGCTAAATTACTCTTCCTTTGCAACTACAATTCAGGTCTTATTAGCA